TCTTGAAAAAAATTAGAAAATATTTTTCACTTAAAAGGATACAAAATATATGTAGCAAAGTAAGCTACAAGTACTTGAACATAAAAGGTGTCTTTATATTTGGATAAAACTTTTCCTAGAGCCTTGGCATCATCCATATCTCTGGGAACCTTCATATTCACTCTTTCTTCTCTAAAGAAATAAAGTGGAAAATTTTAAAACAGAATTTTGCCAAGAAAATTAATATTTAAGTCAAGTTCAAATCATGAAGTTTTATCCAAAATGATTTGATGTCCCAATCTAATACATCAAGTCCAAATTAGTAATTTTTAAGTTCAAAAACAAATTATTTGTTTTTTAATGCTTTAAGATAATTTCACAAGATATAAAAATTCATATATGAAAGTTCAGGATGACCCAAACTAAAGGTTAAAAGCATTTATTTCAACATTGGTATAAACTTTAAATATAAGAAATGAAACCTCTGATTTTAGAATATTAAAAACACATGTAACATCATTTTGGGTAACCCAAGTCAATAACCATTTACAATGGAATTATGTAAAAACTAATGAAGTCATAGTTCACACCTATCTAAAATATCTCAGCTCAAAGTTCAGAAAAAAACTTCAACACTTTTCCCTTTCTATTAACTTTTACCTTTATTTGGCACTTTGGAACTGAGTTCTTGCTTATGAAAACCTCAAGCAATCACCTTTGTATAGTATGCTCATTTGATTACATGTTAAAATTTAATTCACCCTGCAGAACAATGACAGGGTGCTGCTTTCTTAAGTCTTATAAAAATATCTGGTAAACTAAAATGGCTACCCATTTATAAAATTTAAAAACTAAAAAGTCTCTATAGGTCCATGAATGCATGGGCATGCACACATGCAGAGAGAGAGAGACAGAGAGAGAAGAACACAAAAGGTTTGTAAATAGAACATTATTTTATACAAGTGATATGTTATTCTTAGAGCAGACTGGGAGCGAAGACAACCTTACAGTCTATTCTTTCCCTCTTTCAGTCAGCTGTTTATTCCCTGCTCCTTGATCAAAATCAGAAAGAATCTAAATTCAATCATACTAATATTAACTTAACAATATAACATGCCACCCTCTCAAAGGCATTTACATGGATATAAGAAATCAAAATATTAAAATAAAAATAATTAAGTTTAACTATGAAATTTCAAGCATAAAGAACTGAGAATGAGAATGAAAGGAAACTGGAGGAAATATGAATTTTCTCATACTGTGAAATCATTTCAGTTATCCATTATCACACCAGGCAAGCCCTGGTTGAAAGTCTAACTACATTTTAGTAGTCCTTTACGTAATCTACGATTATACCAGGGCGGTATTACTAAGGTTAAATAGCCCTGGGATATTCTGCCTTCCTAAAATATGTTTCACAATCTCTTGCCTAAAATTAAAAAAATTCTGGCAGGGCATGGTGGCTCACGCCTACAATTCGGGAGGCCAAGGCAGGAGGATCAAGATCGCTTGATGCCAGGAGTTTGAGACCAACCCAAGCAACAGCAAGACCCCATCTCTACAAAAAAATAGAAAAATTAGCTAGGCATAGTGGTGTGTGCCTGTAGCCCAAGCTACTCAGGAGGCTGAGGCAAGAGGATTGCTTGAGCCCAGGAGTTTGAGGTTGCAGTGAGCTATGATGACACGACTGCACTCTAGCCCAGGAGACAGAGCAAGACACTGTGTCAAAAAATAAATAAAAAATTCTGAAAACCAAAAGTAATTTGTCAGGAAAAATTGACCCACATTTGTATAAGGTTATAGTTTTTTATCATGTTTAGTGTTTCTATGCAGGTTTCTCTCCAAAAATATTAATGTATTTGATTATGGGATGCTGCCTGCTGGAGGTATCACATAACATATTGTACACACTCTATGATATCTTTCCAAAATGGGAAAATTCTAAATTCTGAAACACATTTTACACTGAAGTTTTAGCTAAGGAGTTGTGGATGTGTACTTGATATACAGTCTTTTACAAGGTCAATTTCACTGTAAAAGTACCTATTCAGATCATGTAATTTCCATAAAACTGGGAAGAGAAAAAGCCAGGAAACAGATGTGGTATGTAAAGAAATGGATGAATAGAAGCAGGTAAAAAACTGATCACAAGGAAAAGGAGGAAGGGGGAAAATAGGGACAGAAAAAGTGGAAAAGCAGAGAATTCCATGTCTTATTCCAACTGTAGGTCATTATCTATTATGGACTGTAAAATAAATTTACTTGGTCCCTACTAGCATTAAAAAACAAAACATATAGAAAATAGCATCTGTTTCTTGAAACTTTAACTTGATTTAATATGTATATGATTGCAATAATGAGAGACAGAAAGCACATGTGAGCAGCATCATAATATAAAAATGTATTTATTTTAGTTATATTTTTAAAAATTTTTGAAAGCAATTAGAAAGATGAGGCCATAATTAGAGAAGCAGTGCTAGGAAAACCTTGAGTAGAAAATCAAGAGGTATATTTGGAAAGAAGTATTTAAATAACAGTGTTGCTATAGACTTGCTACAAGCCCTAGAGCATGATAGCTCTATCACTTAAAGTTTTAACTTTTAATTCACTTTCATCTTATAAATTTCTAGCATTTTCAGTTTCTCTCTCATCATACTTACTCACTAAGCTGAGGAAAATTTTTATACACCAAAAACATAACAAAAGCTGCAGATAAGAAAATGGACACCAATATAAGGAGTGACATTCTTGCTGATCCACCTTCTGCCCAGGCTTTTTCTGAAAGGAAAAAAAGGTGTAATTAAGATAAATATAAAGGAAGACAATATTCCAAGCCAGCAAATAATTTCCCTAAATGCTTTCCTCCCAAAAACTGTTCATACTTTTGCCCAAACACTGTGATATTAAATTTTAAGTATTATATAGTATTTAAAGTTTACCTACTGGACATATTACTTTTGGGGAATATATCCATTTTAGAAGCATGAAAAAACAGAAGACCAGAATTTGTAGCACTGATTTGTTGATAAGCCAAAGAGTCGGGGGAGGGGAGTGGGAGAAAACACTGTTCTAAATGCTATCACTGGCTCTCAATTTTGTACCTCTACACTGGGAGCTGACAGCATAGACAGAATTGCCTCTCTGAAAAAATGAGGTAATTTGGCAATTACTTCAACTGTCTTAAGAACACAAATACTCACAAATGCAACCAGAGAATGTTATACTTTCTCTTTACACCAAAGGCTTTGGAATATAAAGTTGAACCTCAAATGTGTAGAGCAGCTCTGTCTGTGACTCCAAGAGTGGGAGAACATTTGCATTTCCTCACAAAGTAATCTCAATGTTATCTTAAAAATTATATGAAAGATAAAAGTATGGAATGAGATCCAGAGATCAGCAAGCCGAAGAGCGAGCAGGGCTGTTTTGCCAGGAAGCAGTCAACAGTGGGGAGGGCAAGTCAGCTTAACACAGTGCTCACCAGGGAAAAGGTAGGAATGGTGACTCAATTTTTACTGCCTGCATTTACCATTAGCCTATGTATACACTGAGAATATTCAGAGGATTTAAAAATCTGTATAATTAGGATTTATTAATATTATTCTTAGTTCCCTGGGAATGGATCCACCCTATAATCCTCCTTCAACTACTGTCCATGTGGCTTTCATACATGCTTTTAATGAAGTATCCTAAAGTATTGGACTCTCTATACTCTACTACCTTAGAACATCCTTTTTCATAAGTGTATAAAGATGTATGAGACAGGTGTCATTGCCTGCTCTACCTCCATCTCCATTCCCTGAGAACCTTCCCCTGTCCCCAAAAGGGGCCAATCTCAGTGGCCCTATTCTTACACTGGTCCATGGTTGGATACTGGACCCAAGTAAAACAATTCATTATTGGCTGACCAGATTTTTCTCTTAAGATCTTGAACTAAGAAAAAGATACTGTTTATCAAGGGATGGTGGGTCTTGGGGCTAAAAGGTCACAGAGGGGAGGCCACAGTCAGTCAATAACATGTTAAGCCAAAGACACGTACCAGAAAATATGGGAGGAGAGGTTGGAACAGAAACCCAGAGGAGCAGAAATGAGAGATACAGCTAACCTACTTGTTGATTCCTAACTTTCCACTTCCCTTAAAGTCTGGCTATATTTCTTGCTCATGGATGCCAGTAAGATTGTCTCTTATATTCTTACAAGAACCTTGCTTTTTTATTTGTGCTCGTTTAAACTGATTTCTATTCCTTTCAACCAAAGTCATGACTAAATAAAATATAAACTTCATTATATCCCCTGTCTCATTATGGCAGTTTTATATATAATTGATTTTGCTAGATTTTGTAGATTTTGCTAAATTCTATGTTGAACATAGAGCAACAGAAACCACCTCACCCCTTGCTACTCAAAGTGTGTTCTGTGGACTACATGAATAAGTATCACCAAGGAGCTTGTTAGAAATGCAGACTCTCGGGCCGGGCACGGTGGCTCACGCCTATAATCCTAGCTCTCTGGGAGGCAGAGGTGGGCGGATTGTTTGAGCTCAGGAGTTCGAAACCAGCCTGAGCAAGAGAGAGACCCTGTCTCTACTAAAAATAGAAAGAAATTAATTGGACAACTAAAAATATATAGAAAAAACTAGCCGGGCATGGTGGCACATGCCTGTAGTCCCAGCTACTCGGGAGGCAGAGGCAGAAGGATTGCTTGAGCCCACGAGTTTGAGGTTGCTGTGAGCTAGGATGACGCCACAGCACTCTAGCCAGGGCAACACAGTGAGACTCTGTCTCAAAAAAAAAAAAAAAATAATAATAATAATAAAAAAAGAAGTTCTAAGAAAGGGGGAAACATCGACCATTTGTTTTTAGAAGTCATTCTTGTGTCCACAAATACCTTCAGAATGAAAAAAATAAGAATTATTAATGGTTTTAAGGGATTAAAAGATGCTCATAACATTAAATTATTTGCATTAGTCCTTTTTGTATGCTGGACTTGATTCCAGCAGGAAAGTAAGTTAAAACTGGGCTGGGGCAAGTTCATTCCAGATAGACTTAAAAGTATTAATAGCATAACTTTAAAAAACAATCGGCATCCTGAAAAAATATACAGACTACTTACATGTATAGTATGTCTTTGCTTTGATGTCAGCCCATAGAAAACCATGCTCCCAAACCCAGTATTTTTATATTACCCTTATTCCTTTTCCAGTACAGCAACTTTTTATTTAATAAAGTAGGTGGTGTGTGCCTGTAGTCCCAGCTATTCCGGAAGCTGTGGTAGGAGGATCTCAGAAGATTTCTTGAGCCCAGGAGTTTGAGGTTGCACCGAGCTATGATGAGAGCACTGTATTCGAGTCTCAAAAAAATATATATATGAAATAAAAATTTTAAAAACCACACATAGAGAAAGCATGTTTATAGGTAGAAGCAGCAGCACTCCCAATCTTGTATAACGCTCATTCTCTAAGGCTTGTGCCCTGCAACCCTGCTACTATCCAACCCACATATCCTATCACCTACCCCCTTTCAGATAGATCCTCCAATTCACTGAAGACCAAGACCAAACTTGTAGTAAAAGTATCCATAATCCTAAAAGATTTCATCATTCAATTGGATGATCTACCCAATCTCAAAATTCTTAGACTTTCATTTCTGTTCAATTTTAGCCACCTACTTCCAAGGCTATACACTGAATTCTCACATCACCTGGAACTGCTCTACCTTGGACATTTCAAATTCCAATATTCCATTCCTTCATCACCTTTTTTCTTCCACTAGCTTACTTTCTCCATATTCTCCCTTCTGTTGGACTCCTTCTCTTCCTTCCATGCCAGCCTAGATTTCGAGATGTATCATCTGAACCAGCACCTTTGATTAAAATTCTTAGCCTTTCCTTACGGCTATCTAAGCCAAAAATCAGTGCTACAAGTTCACTTTCGTCATTCCTACACCAAGATGGTTGAGCACAAACAGGAAAAAAGTCACAAGTGACCCATCATACATCACTGGGAAAAATGATTGAACCCCATTCCCTTTTCTGAGTATGGAACATGAATCAGTCTGAGCCAATCAGGTTATTCTTACCCTCTGACAACACTGACAGGTTCCCAGATGAGCATTTGCTCTGAGGCAATCTAATCAGTGAATATTAAGACTTTTATTGGTAATGCTAGGACAAAGAGTCTCAAAATTAACAAAGAATCATTTAGCTTACTTGGAGCTTCAAGAGGGAACTAAATTTAGGGTAAAGCTGGTATCAAGTAAGCACACCCACACAGGAAAGAAATCTGATCCTGAAGATACTGAGCCACTGGCTCCAGCCTGAATTCACTAAATCTTACTCCATCTCTTGATTTTTTTAACTTACATGCCAATAAACTCCCTTTCAGCAAGGGTTCCAATTGGGTTTTCTACTGATTGTAGGCCAAAAAAAAAAAAGGATCCTGATACATAATATTTGGGTTGAGACTGACATCAACAAATCATACTAATATCTTAGTTGATGTTCAGTTGCCAAATCTGTTTTTAGATCTCTTTTATCAGTAATCAAAGCTTCCTTCTTCCTCTACCTTGATCACAGCAGATGTTTGAGGAGGAGTATTTGTTGAAGCAAATTAGCAAGGCAAAATCCAGAATAGGAATCTGAGAGGGATTTATTGCCGAAATTCAAACAAGATTGTCTTCTAACAGCTGTAAAACCAACTTGGAGATAGTGTTTCTCAAACTTTTTTGACTGGGTTCCACAGTAAGCAATGTATTCCATATCTGGTACATACCAAATCTACATAACTGAAAAAAAAAGATTTCAAAATACAATACCTGCCCCCTACCACATGGAAAGCACTCTGACAGTTTCTCTTCTGTTCCATTTGTTTTAAATGCTCATCATTCGATTACTCATCAAATTGATTTCATATCCTTCACATGGGTAATGACCTATATACTGAGAAAAACAGTCCTAGGAGTTCTTTTAAATTAAAATGGGGGCTGGTCTGATGGTAGTGCATTGTTAGAACTTATTAACATTAGTGTCACTAAAGTTAGTATACCAACCCCCCACTGCTAAATTTGACTGGCTTAAAATAAATAAACAAACAAACAAAAATAAATGGGGAGGCTGGGCATGGTGGTACGCCTGTAATCCTAGCACTCTGGGAGTGCTAGCCGAGGTGGGAGGATCTCTTGAGACCAGGAGCTTGAGAACACACTGGACAATACAGGAAGACACTATCTCTACAAAAAAAATAGAAAAATTAATTGGGCATGCTGGCATGCACCTGTAGTCCCAGCTACTCAGGAGGCTGAGGAAGGAGGACCGCTAGAGCCCAGGAGTTTGAAGTTGCAGTGACCTATGATGATGCCACTGCACTCTAGCCTGGGCGACAGAACAAGATTCTGTCTTCAAAAAAAAAAAAAAACCAGTAAAATGGGGAACTTGCTAGTAAAAAGACCAGCCAGGGCAAACAACCCAAAAAAGAATGTATGCCCAGGCACCCTCAAACAGATAAGGTTAAGAAGCCTCTTAACTGGTTCCATCTTGTCTTTCTCTCACCCTTCCTCATCATACAACAATTAGACCTTCACTGTTATTGCCTTTCTCAAGTCTTTGAAGTGGTCCATAGTCTACTAGGCTCAGATCCTAGACTAGACACCAGAAACATGGCAAGAAACCCACTAAATGTACCAAACATTGCAGTTAGAGTGTAAAATATTTCAAACATACACAAGATGATAACTCTATTTGTCAAAGTTATTTGAATGTGTCAATAAAATACAAATTCATTTAAAGTGTCACAAAATTCTATTACCATGTATTTCTCAATCAAGGGTTACTAAAATTTTTACCTCTTCTCTAAAATCTTTCCCTTTTTTGAATGCCAAGTTACCACCTGCAATTAATAAAAATTGTTTTTCAAATACTGGAAAATTAGTTGTTAAGTAGTTACTAATGCCATCACATCAACAGCTGATTACCACCAAGTAAATCAAACCCTATCATGTAAGAGGTCCACAAAATCTTTTCCCTATAAAGAGAATTCCTAACATTAATTAAAGAGAGAGAAAGAAACAGAGACAAGGGGGAAAGAAGAAAAAGAAAAAACTGGGAATTATAAACAGCATGATTCAAAAAACTTCCTTTGCCTAGTATAAAGGTTCACATTAGCCTTCAAGCCTACTACTGTTTCCCTTAGCTTGGAATCCCCTTCCTTCCTCTCTACCTATCCAAACCTCACTTCTCCACGAAGGCATGCCTTCACATCTCTTCCCTCTGTCTTTCTACAGATTTGTAATCTGCAGAAGTCATTTGGCAGCATCATAAGAAGAAAAACTGTTGAATGTCTTGTTCTAATGATAAAATAAGAAACAATTATAAAAGCACTTTGGAAGTTTCAAGGTTCTATTTCCTGAACAGCTTTAGGTTTAAAAAAAAAAAAAAAAAAAAGATTAATAGGCCAGGTGCAGTGGTTCATGCCTGTAATCTCAGGGCTTTGGGAGGCTGAGGCAGGAGGATCACTTGAGACCAAGAGTTCAAAACCAGCCTGGGCAACATGCAAGACCCCCGTTTCTACAAAAAATTTAAAAACTAGCCAGGTGTGGTGGTGGGCACCTGTATTCCTAGCTACTCGGGAGGCTGAGGCAGGAGGCTTGCTTAAGCTCAGGAATTCAAAATTGCAGTGAGCTATGATCATGCCACTGCACTCCAACCTGGGCTACAGAGACCCCCTTGTCAGAAAGAAAAAAACATTAATAATACAACTGCTAACTCAAACCAAATGACAATCTTTATGAATGCCTTAACTGGAAAACACTTTTTCAAGAAAACTAGACCTTGAATTATTGTCATTCTCCGTAGGATAGTCTCAAAAAACGTTCCATTGGCCGGGCGTGGTGGCTCACACCTGTAATCCTAGCACTCTGGGAGGCCCAGGCAGGAGGGTAGCTCAACATCAGGAGTTCAAGACCAGCCTGATCAAGAGCGAGACCCCCATCTCTACTAAAAATAGAAATAAATTAGCTGGACAATTAAAAATATATAGAAAAAATTAGCCGGGCATGGTGGCGCATGCCTGTAGTCCCAGCTACTTGGGAGGCTGAGGCAGGAGGATCGCTTGAGCCCAGGAGTTTGAGGTTGCTGTGAGCTAGCCTGACGCCACGGCACTCTAGGTTGGGCAACAGAGCGAGACTGTCTGAAAAAAAACAAAAACAAAAAAAATTCCATCTAGAACAGATTTATATTTTAACAATTCACTTGAGTTTTTCAAGTTATATAAAATTATTTGGTTCCACTGACTACAAGTTGGAAAAATGCCCAAATACATAAAACTTAAAGAGCCAAATTAGGCTGTTGAAGACATATTAAATTATTTAAAAGTACATTAACATTTCTGCTATACACTTTTTTCTTCTTCTGTCTTTGGACATTGAAGTGCTTTATGCTCTTAAAAGACCTCCTTAGCCATCAATGGTGGTGGAACACACCTGTGTGACCTGCACACAACTCAATGGCCATTTGTTAGGATCACTTCAAGTTTACGAGCTTTAAAAGCATTTAAAGAGCTTAATCATTTCAACAGCTAAAACGCAAGGAACAATTCCATGCCAAGGCAGAATTACTTAGTTTCTAGGTACACTTTTTCCCCTAAAACAATATTTAAAGCCCCGAGAAATACCAGACTGGTGTAATGAGAAAAAAGCTTTAGAATGAGTGATCTTAGCTATAATAATTGCTAACATTTATTTAGCGCCCACTTTAAATACGCCAAGCATTACATTTAATCTTTTATATGAATTATTCCATTTATCCCACGCACCAACCTATTATCATCATCCCCATTTTACAGTTCAGTTTTTTAACGTTACCAAGTTCAAGGTCACAAGTAAATACTAGTAGAGCAGAGACTCTAACTCAGGTATACCTGGAAGTATTAAGTCCTTGCTTTTAATTACTATTTTATTAATCTGGCTTTATGACTGTACAAGTCATATGCACACCCTGGGCGTCAGTTTCTTCATCTGTAAAAGCAACGCAACGAATGCTAAATTTCCTTCCAGCTCTGCCTAGCTTCCTTATTATCAACCTTATAATTTCCCTGCGCAACACGCCAGTGTCATTCCTTCTTTTAACCGAATTCAACTAAACAATCATTTATAACGCACCTACTAGGCGTCTGGCCTGTGCTACGCGAGGGCCCGAGCCCAACTCCCCGACTCTCTCCGCTCCGGCTCTCAGGCGCCAGCAGGCCGCCTCTTTCCCCGCAACCCCGAGACCTGCTGGGGTCCTTTCGCCTCCGGAACCCCTCCCAGCAAAGTGGTGACTCCTGGCCAGCCCCAGCTCTGGTCTCCGGGTCCACTCACCCTTCAGGTGGTCTCCGCCGCCAGGCGCCACGGGACCTCGCGTCCCTGCTGCCCTGTCTCCCACGGGGGTCGTGTGGAGTGCCCCTGTCTGCGATCGCTCCGCGACTCTGCCTTTTGCCATGGCTACTGCAGCGAAGGTGGAAGGAGCGGTGCCGTGCCGCGCCCCCTTAACAACAAAACTCCGCCACAGTCTCCTTACAACACTGAAACACCACGGCCAGTGCCACTTCCGGCGCGACCTCCTCACCTAAGACGACCTCAATCCCGCGCGCACGGTGACGCGCAGCAGAAACCCGCAGCGTCCACTTGAACTAAGCTCCTCCCCGCGCCACCCCAGAGCCTCGCGCGCTCGCTCCGGCCCAGTAACCGCGAGACAAGTCAGGATGCCGACCCGCCCCATCCAGTGCCCCGCCCCGCCCCGCGCCCGCGGGAAGCATGCGCAGTCGCGGCACCCAAGTATCCTGGCTGCGGCTGGGGCGCTCAGATGCCTAATGCGCATCCTTAATTATCCGGAAGTGCGGTCCTGGAGACTTCAAACCCTTTGTCCCGGCCGCCGGAAGTGCCTGCAAGTGATCAGTTGGCGTTTTGGGACTGACGCTGACTCAGTTGCTCGGTACTGCACTAATTCCACAGTTGCTGTTTGGAATCTGGAGGGGTTAGAAAGTGCTTGGTCTGGAGATGGTGGAATACATAAAGCCTGAGCCAAACCTACCTGAATTTCAGGAAACCAGGGCCCAGGGAGGGGCTATATATAACCTGTGAAGGTCACAGCGTGGCAGAAATGGGTTTAGATCCGCGTTTTCTTGTTCCCAAGCAAATGCTTTTCCTTCTCATCACCCTACTGCCCCTCACTAGTAAACCCAGGTCAACTAGTTACACTTCGCTTTTCTTTTTGCAGAGTCCACACCTGAACCTACCTTGTTTTGGGTTTTGTTTTTTTGTTTTAAATTGAGACAGGGTCTTGCTCTATTGCCCGGGCTAGAGTGCAGTGGCTCACTGCAACATCAAACTCCTGAGCTCAGTTACTTTTTCTGCTCCTACCCCCAAAGCAGCATTCACCTTACACTCATTAGTAAGTGTATTGGAATTCCCTCTTGAAAGCAACTTGGCAGTATGTATAAAAATATTGATCTTGGCCGGGCACGGTGGCTCACGCCTGTAATCCTAGCACTCTGGGAGGCAGAGACGGGTGGATTGTTTGAGCTCAGGAGTTCGAAACCAGCCTGAGCAAGAGCGAGACCCCATCTCTAGTAAAAATAGAAAGAAATTAATCGGCCAACTAAAAATATATAGAAAAACTTAGCCGAGCATGGTGGCGCATGCCTGTAGTCCCAGCTACTCGGGAGGCTGAGGCAGAAGGATTGCTTGAGCCCAGGAGTTTGAGGTTGCTGTGAGCTAGGCTGACGCCACGGCACTCACTCTAGCCAGGGCAAAAGAATGAGACTCTGTCTCAAAAAAAAAAAAAAAAAAATTGATCTTGTCCAGTAATTACATTTCTAGGAAACTATTCCATAAAAATAAACATAGAGTCGCTAACCTTATTTACTAGTGTGAACTAAAATAAAATCTTAAGCCCCCCTCCCCCAGCTTACTGAATCGACCCCCTCTTGGAAGTGAGTTACTGGCCCTGAGAAGAGAGATCAGACATGCCTCATCATGTCCTCCTCCCCTCTTGCAGATATCCTTTGTAACTCATTAATAGGCCTAAGGCTATGCCAGACAAACTTGCAGGCCCTCAATTTAAATAAAAAACCATTTGAGTCTGGGTATGTGGCCAGTGGCTTGTCTCTGATTAACAGACTTCCTTATCTTAACTTAAAACATTCCAAGCCTTTAGACAAAGCTTCATTTCTTTAATCAGTTATAAATAAAAGAGTCTTAAAACCCACCTATAACCTGTGAGCCCCCATCCCCTCACATTTGAGCTGTCCCACCTTTTCGGGCCAAACCAATGTATGCCTTCCATGTACTGATTTATGACTTTGCATGTAATTCCTGTCTACCTGAAATGTATGAAACCAAACGGTAACCCAACCACAGCAGGTCCACTTGCTCAAGGCTTCTTGGGTATGGCTCTGGGCCATGGTCCTCAAGTTTGGTTCAGAATAAAACTCTTTACTATATAGAGTTTGGCTTCTTTTCCATTGACAATAGTATAATGGTGAAAACATGGAAGCAATCTAAAAACCTAACATTAAAGAAAAATGGTTAGGTAAATTATGGGAGACCCATTCAATGGAACTGTCTTATGTATGCATTCTTTGCCTCCTGTTTAAAGCTTTCAATAACCACTCTAAGAGGTGGCTCCCCATTTTATTTCCTTCATAGTCATTTTTTTTTCTTTTAAAAACAGCATCTTCATCTGTTGCCCAGGCTGCAGTGCAGTGGTGCAATCATAGCTCACTGCAACCTCTAAGGCCTGGGCTGAGGGGATCCTCCCACCTCAGCTTTCCAAGTACCTAGGACTACAGGCATGATCCACCGTGTCCAGCCCAGTCATTAAAAGCAATCATTATGTAGATTGTTTGTTTACTTGTTTATTTTCTGCCTCCACCTCTAAAATGTAAGCTTTAAGGCACAAGCCTTGTCTTTTTTTATTGTCAAAGAGATGGGGTCCCCCTCTGTTGTCCAGACTGGACTTGAATTTATGAGCATGCCACCGTGACTAGCTGAGCCTTGTCTTTTTCTTCATCATTTTATCCCCAGCAGATGACAGAGTGCCAACACCTAAGTGGCCATTCAATAAACTTGTTGAATAAATTTTCAACCATAGAAAATTATATTTATGAAAAGACTAATAATGTGGACAATGCTTATACAAAAACATTTCAAGACACAATTATACAAAACAAATATTAGAGGAAATACCTAAGCAAATAAATATCTTTAGTGTAGGGTAGATCTTCTTGAGCAAGACCCAAAACTATTTAGAAAAGATTGATTTTACTACATAAAAAATTACAACAATAACATCAAAAATAAACTCTACAAACAAAAGACTGAAAAAATACTTGTCACGTAAATAAGAATTACTACAAATCAGTAGGAAAAGCATAACTCAACGGAAAAATGGACAAAGAATATGTCGATTCATAGAAGAAAAAATTAAATATGCTGAAGACTCCTGAGTGTGCACTGGGAAAGCCAACCTTGGAGAGCAAAGTGTGGGGGGCGGGGGAAGAAGAAAAAAATTCCAACAAATTAAGGAAAAGATGAACAACCTGAATACAGTGTGATAATGTTACTGAGCAATGGGCTCACTTCCAGACATGCCTAGAGCCAAGCTTATGGCATTAACTTTTGATAAAAGAAAAAGTTTATTGTGAGTCAACTGGCAAGGAGACAGGAGGCAATGCTCAAGTCTATCTCCCGGATCTGAGGGGGTTGCGGGGGATAGGGGTGGGGTCAAGCTTTTATGGCATTTCTAACTAGTCCCAGTTGATGCCAATGCAGCCAGTCTGCCAGGCTGGCGGTGTTAACAATTAAGAGGTTGAAGCCATTTCCATTGCACATGCCTGGGCAATTTTCGCTGTGAGTCACCTGGTCCCACAGTTACCCAGGGTTACAATAACATTGATTGAGAGGTCCACAGATTGCAATAGCAGAAGAGAAGAGTATCTAAATTACAGTAGTGAAGGTCTCCTAGGAAGCAAGATTTAAACTGATTTTTAGGGGATGAATAGGAATTAACAAAGGAAAGGGGGAGAAAATGGCTTTTGCAAAGCCTAGAAGCTACTGCTTATCTTTGAAAAAGAGCTTCAAGCAAAGGGTAGAAGAATGGAAAGAAATGAGATGAGAGAGAGAAGGCAAGGAGTCTTATTACAAAGTGGTAAAAGTTTGAACTTAATCCTCAAAGATATCTGAAGCCATTGAAGATTTTAACTGGAGAGGGACTTATTAAGATTCGTATTTTCAGAGCTTATTCTGACTTCCCTGTGGCAGAATTGGAAGAGTGCCATACCAGCAGCAGAAAGAAGTTAGGAGACTACTATAATAATCCTGGCTTGACTTAGGGTAGTGAACTGGAAACAAAGAGAAGATATCATATATAAGATGATATATGAGAAATTATTTTTAAATTTTTATTATTTTAATTACACGAATAAATAGAATACATAGTCATTCCAGAAAAAATACTGAAAAAACAAATGGACAAATATATTAAAATTATCTCTAATCCTACCATCCATAGTGTAACAGGGAATGGCCTGGAAAGAAAAACTGCAAAAATATTTTCTGTCTCTTCAACACATCCTGCACTCCTTTTTGGGAAGTAAAGCCTGCATCCCTCCCTCAGGCCAGTGGCTGGGAGGGGCAGGGTAACGGGTAAGTTTTTTGTTACTTGTGCAACAAGAGATGGCCCGGCCAGGATCTGGTAAAGGGAGACCCTGGGTAAAGGTCATGAGATTATCTTCAGTGGAGATGGGACGATCAGAATCATCAACTGTAATTGGACAGTAATTGCCTAAGGCTGAGAACCCATCCCTTAAAAGCTCTGTATTTCTGCATATTACTAGGACCATGGCATTTCAGACAGGAGTGTCCATCCTCCTTCTTTGCTGGCAAAGTGATAACATTCTCTTTCCTTCTCCTGAAAAGACTTGTTCTTCTGATACGGCCTTGAGGACAAGTGGCTGAGCTTTCGTTAACAATAGGTTATTATAACATTGGGATTTATCCTTCTGAAATATTAGAAATGTTAAAGAAGTAGAATCTAAAGGACTTAGTGACAATATCCTTAGACAAGGATATTAGTGAGAGGGAAGGATTAGGTGTTTAGAGAATTTCTGGTTTAGGAGGCTGAAGGGAATATTTGTGCTAAGAGACTACAGGAAGAGGAGTTGAATTGGAGGGAAAGATGTTGAATTTCGTTTTGGATACTCTCTAGTCATACTTTCTTATTTCCTGACTGCTATCATCTTTTCTCAGCTGAAACTGCTCTTAATAATTATGGTCACCAATAAGCTTATTTTTGTTGGATTCAGTGGTTAGTTTCTAGTCATTTACCACCTCTCTGCATTGCTTAATACAGTAACTGTTCCATCCTTCATGGTTTCCGTGGTAATTCTCTGATACTTAGTAAATTCTTTTGAAGGAAACTCTTCTCTTCCTCACTAAATGCTGGTATTACCCCCAAGGTATCCACTCGCTTCTCAGTCTACAACTTTTTCTAGGCAATTCTTGCCATGACTTCAAGAACCACTTACACATACACAGATAACAAGTAAATGTTTATTTCAAATGCCATTATGATACATGTAAGCTTATTAGACATTTCCACAAGGGTGTACCAGAAGCACCTCAGACTCATCCAAATGTGAAATCAGTATCTTACCTCTCAAACTTTGCATTCAGTCTTCGAAGATGGCATCACCAGCTCTCCTTTTGCTCAGGCCAGAATCATAAGAAGTCTGGTTTAACATTCATTAAATT